TTCTTAAAATAGAATTGTTGTCCCATATCATGGGGACAACCCCAATACTTGAAATGGCGCGCGCTTACGGTCTCCGTCCCCGATTATGGCTCCTGCTACAAATTAACAAAATTCCAGCAGTACCTATGGCTGTAGAATATGGCGGGTGCAGGTGAAACGCACACACCGCGTCTGGTCGAGCTTGATGAACTCCCGTGTGAATAGTAGAGGCAGATGTTTCCACTTCACCTTTCCCTTCAACCACTTCACGCTTCTCGTTCAGGCCAACAAATGATGACGCTTTAACCTGAAACGACAGTCGGAAACATACGGTAGAGCAACATAAATAACGAAAATTACTATTGCTTGGGTGTCGGAATAATGTTGAAAATTTCTTGTACCTCACTCCAGTGCAATCCATAGGGCACAATGAGCATCACTTGTCCTTCGCCACTAGCCGCTGGAGCCATCATACTCAAATGATTGCATACTCCTTCATGTAGGCTGAGTCTTTCAAAGATACGATAAGAGGCTGCTAAATCAACTCGCCGCCGCCAATTTTCCAGCCTCGCCTCCTCCTTAGCTGGAAGCACTTTTGAAGCAGTGCTGCTGTGCCGGTATGGCGGGATAACCCGACTTGACACGCTGATAAAATTTGTCCTGACTTGATTCAAGAAGCACCAAGGTTTAGAAAGGAAACGTATCCCCGCAGCCATAATCTTTGTTCAGCTGCTTAACCTAACAAGACAGAAAACCATAAGATAATATCAGATAGGCTTATTCATAGGTGACAAGGGCGTGGTCCACGTGGAGTTATCACATATTCAGAAAACGTCTACCAAGCACAAGGCTTGATAGCACTTATTTTTCACCTCAGTGAGGTTTTCTAAAAAGAAAAATCATTAACTTTCCGGGAAACAACTTTTCTTTAATTCTATTAAAATACAAACAATCCCGATCTCCGGTGGGATTTTCACGTGACTAAGCGATTTTTCTTTTGGATAATTTGAATAATTTTCAAAACCTAACTAGTGAGCAGCACTTGAACGGCTTGAAGCTTGTAAAACTGATTTTACCTCCTACGCGTTTCGTTCGACTATGACGGAGTTGTACTCAGTAGTGATAGCTGTTTGCTTGTCTTTAGACACAAGATAAGACAAGAGTGAATTTACGGGTTAACGTGGAGAAAACAAGTTAAGTTTTTTTTAAGGCGTGACTAAGGTGTAGCACATGTGTGCATGACATGGTTAATTTTTGGAGCCACACATCTGTGGCCCCATAATTAGACATGTCAAGCATATGTTCATATGTTCAGTTTTAGAAACTTCAAGTTGTTTGAATGCTGCTCACTAGTTTAATTTAGTTTTAAAAACTGATTTACGTGATAATTTTTCGTAAAATTATGATTAAGCACCGAAATATTTCTGCTTAAACCCTGTCCAAACGGGAAATGTTTTGCGATCAAACATGATCAAACACCGTTTGATGACAAAACATTTTCCCGTTTGGACACTTTAATTGATCGTGTGAGATCGTGCTTGGTCGTGTTTAATAAAATTTGAACGACGCCAAACATTTGACCAAACATTGTAAAACATTTTGTTCGTTCAAACATGTTCTATGCCGTTTAGCCACTCAGTACAACATCAACATGTTTAGCCACCAAACAATGTTTGATCGTATTTGGTCGCCAAACAGACCTCTCCCTGTTCGAGATGTACTCTGTCTACGCTGTGAGTAAGTGCGCTGACATAACGTGCGACACGAGCAGACCACTGCTCGAAATTTAGGCTAGTGGCATAGGACACCCAGACTAAATGTAAAGTAAATGTTTAGGATGAACAAAACGAAATAAATTGTTCTCCCCGGTTCAAGTGATGGATGACACTTAAAATGAAAATCATTTTTAGGCTTGGCACTTAGCAAGCAATGTTCTCCATTTCATATAAACAGCGCGCGCGTCTAGTTTCCGCGGCACGCTTAGCTTCCGTATGTTACTTTTGAATAGAGAGTCGCGCGAACCGAACATTTAACAGTTTTCACGCTGGGCTATGCCCGTACTGGTTGTGAATTTTCACAAGATGACACTTTGACATTTTTCTACCTTATCAGTCTTCAATTTTTATTTTCTTTTGAATTTTAATATTAAGTACCCTGAGTCCCTGAGAAATGTTTTTCCCCAAGGTCCAAGAGAACGTTTTTTCCCGTCCCCGGCGCTGCTCTTGGACCTTGAGAAAAAAATTCCTCTGGCACCCAGGGTAAATGTAAAGAGAGTTGTTGAGGAGATTTGTACTTTAGAATTCCATAGGAATAAAACTACTTTTTTAACAACTTTAAGCTCTAAATAAAAATCAGTTAAATCCCCTAAATTAATAACGTTTACGAAAGACATCCCAGGGCTTACAGTGTCACTAGATTTGAGCGATTTTAGGCTATTTACCGTAAGAGCTTCTGTTATTTACCTCGCCACATCTTCCTCGTTAATTAACCCTTTGAGACAATAATTTACTTGCAGAGCACCAAAGAGTGAATAACACGTGCTTATTAGCGCTTTACGCGAGACATATTCACCAATCACATCTCTTCCGCAAGATCACGTGAGAAGGGGGGAATTTGAAACACGCGACCAGAAACCATCGTCAGTTGCACTGTTGAACTGTGACTTCAGGGTTGAGCTAAAACTGGTCGGCTTTAACACCACAATTATTTTTCTTTCTACTCATCAAATAGAGAAAACGGAGCTTTCGTTCAAAGTAAAGTTGTTGGTGTAAGAGCAACTTTTAGCACAAAACTTGTTCACTGTGTATAGTTCAAAAATGGCGTCTGCTATCGAGTGTCAAGGTAAGCTGAAGTCAGTTCAGAGCGGCTGTTGTCTTATTGGAAATGTTTTACTCAAAGCTTTTAGCACCTTGAACATCTCTGTGTTTCGTCTTCTTAACACTGAATTTCTGTACTCTTTATGTAACAAAGAGGAAAATTGCTCCAGCAACAGCGTTGCCTTCGAAGTCGTATTTAGTCCCGGAGTGGAAAATGCTAGGAAGCCACGATTAACTCCGCGTAAAGGGAAAGACAGTTTGAACAAGCAGCAATTGGACGAAAAGATGAAAGCAGCTGAAAAAAGAAGAACGGTAGGATATAGTTCTATGCTTGGTCAACGTGCACCAACTTTCAAGACATTCTCTCAAGCTTAATATAGGCTTACGTTTAATTTAAGCTTAATTCGTTGAACACTGAGCCAAATAGTGTGAATTTAGATGCTTATTTTAATTAACTAAATAAAATTAAGCTACATGTATGCAAGGTACAAAACATCCTTTAATGTACTAGTCAATTCGAATCTGCAACATCCCCCCGGGCAACCCCCAGGCATTTGCCATTTTAAATTTTCCCATCAGCGGGAGAAAAATTTTGTAAAATGACCCTACACCCGGGACATCTATTGCAACAATGAGTAGTGGAAGAGAAAAATATTTACCTTCAAACACCAAGTGTCTTTATTGGGCTGTGGCCTTGAAGGATTCCTGGAAGAAAATGAAGCAAGCACATTAAGGACGTTTGCGCCCAAAATGTTCCCACATACAGATTTTCTTTAAACTTGCCACTTTTGCCAAAAAGGCCAAAAAAATGGGAGGTCACCGACTTCGTTTTGGAGAGAACATGCCTGGGAGAACAACCTAAATATGAGAAAACTCGGGCTTCGTTAGCGATTAAGGTGGGCCGAACAGAGTTTTTGCGTGCGCTTTTGCTGATACAATTCAGTGCGCACACAAGGATTGCAAAAACAAACATGCCGTCAATAGAGCAATCATTTCATCTACTCAGCACCCACAGTATCTGAGCTATTTTTCTCTATAACTGAATGCAGTGTAATGATGGCTTTAGTCTTTTATCACAAATATATATTAGAAAAGGTAAAGATGCAAAGAACTCAGTAATTCTCAGCTTTTTCTTTGTTACCGAAAGAACCCAGTTAAATGCAGCGAATGTGTAGTAAGTCAAAAAATTGCGGTTGACTGAAAATTTGCACTCTCAGAAATACGCCTATTTCTCAAGAATCACTCACTAGAATTTCATGAAATTTGGCACGAAAATACTTCAGGAAATAAGTAACTGGAGTATTGAAAATAATTGAACTTTAACAGAGGAAACTCTAGATATTCCAGTAAACCTTCAACAAGGGATNAGATAAAATCTGGTAATGTTAGTTTTAATTAAAACAGGACCAGCAGCATAACTGTTGCCATGGCAACGGCACGACGGGTGTCATTGTGTTTCTTTTGTGATGTACATTTCTGGTGCCAAGTTTAAAGAACACTGCTTTAATATTTTTAGAGATATTCTTGATTGAGTGTTGAACTGTTTTAGTGGAACCACCTACGACGTCGTCACTTTTAATACAAAAACCTGAATATCTCCAAAACGAAAAAAGATATTCTAAAAAGGAAAACACCATTCTTTTTTACTTCATAGGCACTTTAAGACTAGAATGTTATTCTAAGGATGTCTGTTTTGTGCTTCACCAAATTTATGAGATGACAAATCTGGGATCTGGGTCTCCAAAACTTTTGATCCAATCTTCCCAAACCATTAATAATGCATCAAGTTTAAACAAAGGAAATCATGACTGTGACGGTGTTTGAAGTAATATATCAAACATGAGAGACAGTGTTTCATCGGGATATCCAAACACCGAGAAGAGAGTTGAAAATATGACACGCAGCAGAGTATTTTTGGCAAAATTCGACGTGTTTGGATAGCCGATGAAACACTGTCTCGAGTGTTTGATATGTCTTATCAATCGAAACAAAAACTAAGGAGTAAACGCAGAAGTAAAATTGTCAAAATCTATGCTAATTAAGAATGGGTGTCTAAACCTCCTTCACGGTTGTGATTTTCTTTGTTTTAACTTGGTGAATTATTAGTGAGTATGAGAATAACTTATCTTAATTAGCACAGATTTTTATGATTTTATTTCTCCCTCCCATAAAGGAGTCAAAAAAGGAAGAAATGAATCATGCATACTAAAGGCCAGCCTGCGAACGCAGATGTATTTCCGGCTGTTGCTTGTCTCCGCTGAAAATAACGTCTGCGAACCCAAGCCAGGAAACGATTTCTGTGACGTAATGACTTTTGTTTCTCTTTGGCCAATCAGATTCCATGATAAAATGAAACTTGAGTGCTCCTCGGAGTGAAAACCTCACGCAGTAGTTCCTTACTTGAGCTAAACTGTGATTGGCTTAAAATTCCTACGTCGCAGAAATTGTTTCCTGGTGCGGGTCCGCAGACGTTATTTTCGGTGGAGACAAGCGACAGCCAGAAATACGTCTGCGTTCGCAGGCTAACTAAAGGCATCCCCCATCGACATCTCGGTCAACAGTCAGTTCACAGTTTGCTACGTCAACCAATTCACATGTATCGATATTTGAAAATTTTTTAATTAGTTGACTCTATCTACTGTCAACGGACATGTTGATCGAGTGTCAACTGAGTTGATGGAGTGTTGATCGAGTGTTGATTGAGTGTCGTTTGAGGGTATCAATCGACACTTGACCATGGATGTCTTTAGTACACATCATTTGCATAAATTATACAAAACATATACATCTGACACTGGTACTGTTTTCACATCAATCTAGTATGCCAAAGTGTGGGTATTTGACAAAAAGTGGTATGATATCGCACCCACATTTGGCTTGGGTGGGGCAGGGTGGGGGGAGAAAACAAGCTGGGGAAACTTGGCACAACATGAGGTAACATAGACTGAAAGCTTTCATTTCTAGTTTTGGACCCATGAGACATGCACCAGATAGAGTGTACGCCTTTCACATGAGAGTCTAGACTCTCCAGCAACAGACAAGTCCTTCATCCAAATGTGTTCTCCTCCGGTTTTCTCGTAGAGATCCTGCCTTATAAAACGAGAAACGTTTTTTAGTAACATTTTAGTGAATGCGCTCCATTTGTGTCTTGATGTGAGACCTCTAACCTACGAAAACTAGTTCTTCTTGGTATATCTTAAGATCAGAAAGCAAAATATTAAAACTCACGTTTGCAGTTTGGATCGATCTCAATTTGCTTCTGCAAAAATGCCAAGTTATGTTATTCTGCTGAAGGGGATCACGCAATCTCTTTTTGTCCTTATTGGCTCCGACCCACTCCGGACCCCTGGCAAAAAGTGAGAAGTAACCGGTGTGAGACTGAAGATCACTGAAACGAGTTCCACGAGTTCTCGTAGCTCAGTGGATAGAGCGCCCGCCCGGTGTTCGGGAGGTCATGGGTTCGATTCCTGTCGGGGACTCAGAATTTTTCTTTGTCCCACGCTCGTGTCATGTTGATTATTTCACTTTCACATTTCATTACCGAGCTTAAAATTCACCATCTTTATTAACTTATCATAGCAAGGGCATGTTTTCATACCAAAGAACGTTCATATGTTCTAGCGTACGTCCAACTCCCGTGGCGAGCAAAGTTGTCGTCGGGAATCTGGCGGGGTAGGGAGGGAAACTGTGTCTTTGCACCGTTTGTTCCAACCCTTGTTCGTTCCCAGACTGCACACATTGACCGGACCGACGCTGCGTAAAGATGGCGGGAAGTTTGTTCCTATTCCTGTTGGTATAACGCATTGAAATATTTATTTTCTTTTGTAAAAATATGGTCCAGTTACAGATTCGGGGTGTGGATATTGATTTTCCTTTTCCACCATACGACTGTCAAGTTTCTTATATGGAGAAAGTTATTCATTGTTTGCAAGAGGTAAGGCAAAACTCATCCGACTGATAGATCTGTCGACGTGACTGACCTGCGCACGCAAGGAGCGAAAATTAGGGGAAATGATCCAAGAGCGTGGCTTTTGATAAACTATAATTTCAGTTCACAGATTATTGTACACTAGAAGTTTATGCGGTTCAGTAGAGATCGTGATCAAGTGACCACTGAGAACAATTCAGTGAGCTGCTAATCTTGGCAACACATAACAATCATTACACGACTTAAGGATTGTAATCATAAAGATATGCTTAAGCTTGTGTATATAAACCCTCGAATTAGCGCCCCTCCTCAAATAAGTGCCCCCTTCGATTAAGCACCCCTCCTATCGGCCGAAATTTAAAATAAGTGCCCCCCTCGAAGAAGCGTCCCACTCCCCTCCCCTCCCCCCATTTTGGGGACAAGTAATGAGACAACAAAGGATGTATAGTTTTCGTCATGTAGCAGTAGATTTGTACATTGTTTCAGTTTATGAACGCATAGGTGAACATGTTGAACATGTTAAGTACTAACAGTGCCCCCTTGAATAAGCGCCCCCCAGTCTTCTCCTAAATTTGAAATAAGCACCTAGGGTGCTAATATGAGGATTTACAGTAATTGCAATAACGTTGTCATAGAAAAAAGCAAAAAAGCAAAAACCCAAATAGGAATTTATTAGCCAAATTTAAATTTCCATTGCTTTCAGATACTGTACATGAATGAAAAATATAATGTACATGAATAACATGAATGAAAAATGTATTTTTTATTCATGTGCAGTATCTAAGAACAATGGAAATATAAAATTTCCCTAATTAATTCCTATTTGGCTTTTTGCTTTTTTCTATGACAATGTTATTACAATTAGGTGTATGTTACAAGTTCTAGTGGAACACTTTTGCGTTAATCGTGCACCCCTCTCCCCCCAATCATGCCCAGAGGGTCTTTACCTACACTTAAAACTTAGGCCCTGACTGCATTTTTGTGTGAAAACACCTACTTTTTAAAGCGTTTTTGCCTTAGTATTGTCTACACAAAGTGAGAATGACTTAATAATAATAAATAATAATAATAAAAAGGTTCTTATTGTGCATTTAGAATTCTCAATGCGCTTACAATTGCATATTGTTAAAAAGAATAAAAACCTAACTAAACAATGCAATTATTAAAATCTATGACTAGGTTAAAGACTATTACAAAAAAGAAATGTTTTAAGGTTCTTTGTAAAAATCGCTATGCTCTCAGACTGTTTGATATAAAAAGGTAGGTCATTCCAAAGTCTCGTGGCGTAAAAAGAAAAGGATCTTTGACCGTATGTACATGTTTTCACTTCCGGAACTTGTAAGAGTAATTGGCCAGATGATTGAAGAGAGCAAGCTGGTTTATAGGCGTTATAGGCGTTTATAACTTTTGGGTAAGTACATGATTGTTACAGCTTGCTCAAGGGGAAAGCCTTTATTGGTGCCTGTTAAGTGTACTGTTCCCTTGTTGACAGATGTCATGTGACCTCAAAGTAGCCAATGAAAATGCATGCTGTTGAGGAAACAATTCGAGCCATATAACAATATTATAGGTTGTGAGTTTGAATCCCATTCAAAGCCTGAATATTTTTTCAGGTCTTTTTTCCAGTAGCATCATGGCTGCATTTGCATCTATCATCATGCCTAATATTAAGGTTTTTATCAATGCTAGTTTGGGAACCAACACCTAAAGTAAAAGAATCAATAAGTGTATCAAATCAATTAATTTTCTGCATTTGAATAAATTTTCTTCACATGGAATAAGAGGGCAGAACAGGTCTTTATACTGGACAGATAGAACACTTAATCTATCATGTATTAGGAATCTTGTTGCCATTAAGTATTTGTAGTTTTTGAGGTCAAATTTCCATGGTACAGCAGATCTAAAGGACTTAATTATCTAGTGAGTACACATTGGAAGTCACAACAACCAACTATGGTAACATAAAATCTCCCCCAGTTAGAGGTGAATATACCATAAAGGAGTAGCTCTATCAAGTAATTTTATAGGACATGTATAGAATAGTGTGCCTGAAAGTACTATCCGCTGAAAGGATTTTTGCCATTACCAATGTTTGTAGAGAAAAAATGGTATTCTTGAGAGTCCAACTGGGACAGGAAAAACTCTTTGTTTGTTGTGTGCAACACTAGCATGGAGAGAAACGTTTGTGGCTCAAATGCAGCTTAACCAGAGACTTTCGTCTGATCAAGTTGGTTCAGATTATGTGCAAGCTTTGGGTGAAGAACTACAACAAGCTGCTAAAGGAGATTCTTGGGGTGCATCAGATGGCCATGACAAAGGTATTTATAGGAAGTCTATTTTGTACTTTTTGTTTGTAAAAAAAAAACACTTTTTTGTGTGCTTTGGTTGAATTTTGTTTTTGGAATTTTTATAAAGCAGTTAATTTTTTAATTTTCTTTTGTTTTTCACAAGGATCTAATAAATAAAAGACAAAAATTTCAAAACCAAACATAAGTTTTAACAATGACATCAATCAATCAATCAATCAAACCATAAATCAATCAATCCTTTTGTGAAGCTGATTTAAGTTGCCATGCTAACAAGTTTAATCTTCACTTAGATTGCAAGTTTTCATTGTGCTTTACAAAATTAACTAGTATGATATTTGGTATTTCTATTCAAGCTGACAGCTAGTTACTCCTTGTGAATTGCAGGCTCATTTTTTGAACCACCAAGAATTCTATACTCCTCAAGAACACATTCCCAATTGTCACAAGCTGTGCAGGAACTAAAGAATACAATATACAGGTGAGACTTCACACGTTCATGGATGTTACTCTTGTAGTACATTGCCTAAAACATACTTTGGTTATTCTTCTTTAAAAGGCCCAAAGTCAGTATTATTGGTTCACGTGAACAGCTGTGTATCAACAGTGATGTACTAAAGCAAGAAAATAACTCGGCTAAGGTGAGAAAAGCAAAATAATTCAAATAGTTATTTTCAAGTTGTCAAGGGTCAAACACTGGAAGAAAGTCATTGTTATTAAACATCACAACATCAATGTTTCTGTTAGGGTAGCTTGATCTGATTTTTGAGTAACGGTACTGTTCAACTTTGAGCAACTAGGGCACCACCATTCTCAATCCAAAAGAAAATCAAATGTTACTGGTGTGTTAGAGAAAAATGAAAGTTTCAAGTGAGGTACAGGGTACATTGTAAGTTTTACTAAGATCTGAATTACCATAGCAATGTTATGACATCCTAACCCATTTTGCTTGAGATCAAATAACTTATCATCAATGGATAATTTTGGAATTACAATGTCAGGATCTAAGAGCTAACATAGTTGTCTGAAAGATCGCAAAATTTAAAAAAATCTCTGGGAGTGTTTTCGAGAAAATTGCAGGTGAGGTTTCAAGGTGTCAAAATACAACAAAAGTAAAGCTGTTTTAAAATGTTATTGCAAACTGTCCAGAAGACTTGACTAAATGGTATCCTGGTCTTAAATGAATCTTATATAACTATTAACATCTAGTTACCTTGAGTGACAATCTAAGAGAAATCACTTCATTTGATTGTCAGATATATTGGCTTGAATATCATTTGGTGTGGGGTGTTATTTTGCTTTTTATCAAAAATTGCCCATACAATTACTAAATTGGAGGGGGGAGGGGAATTAAAATACACTCTATGAATTTTTTTTTTTTTAGACTCGGCCCTCAGTGACATAAATCCATATTCAACGTAATACTGGAGTTTCAAATTAATTGAAACATTTTAAGGCCACTAATTTTCAACCTCAACTCAGGAAAATGTTGGGCTGATTTTCACTTGTGTTGTTTGTTGACTTTATTATAATTTTCTTTTGTCTCGAATCACTATGCTATTGTAAATTTATGTGTATCATAAATTCATAAAACGTGTGATTGCTTTCCGACATTTTCCTGATTTTCTGTTGGGTTGATAATGGTGGTGCCTTAGTCGCTCAAAGTTGAAAAGCATTGTTACTCAAAAATCTGATCAAGCTACCTTAATGTGTTCCAGTTTATGCACATGAGTAAAAAATGCTTTTTTGCAGGAAGTTATGTTTCTTCCCATAGAAGCTAAAAATCTCTCAAAATTTAACATTTAGCTTATTATACATAAAGCACTAGGTATAGTTAATTATAATTAAATTATAGCAGTGAGAGATGTTTGTTGTTTTGTTACTGATAACAGGTTCACACATGCAGAGCAAAAGTTCAGGCTAGAACATGTCACTTTTACAACAACCTGGAAGGTAACAGTAAGAATAATCTCACTTTCAAACAACTGTGGGTCGACAAACTATCTTGCATGACAGAGGTAAAACTAGTTTACAAATAGTGCTAGCAAGCTTGTGCTCAGTCTTGTTGTTGGTGTTGGTCATCAGAAAAAGAGGTGTCGATCCTTGGAACAAGATACACATTGTGTGGTTGATCGCTTCCCTGACTTATGCCGCATGAAATACTTTTTAAATAATTAACTTGTCTAGGCATTAACAGACAGGACTACAGTTAATAATTTTATATTTTTAGTAGCAGTAGTAGTGGTAGTATTTAGTAGCAGTAGTGTTAGTGGTAGAAGTAGCAGTAGCCTTAGCCGTAACTGTAGTCGTAGCCATAGCTGTAACAGTAGCCATAGACATAGCCTTATCAGTAGCAATAGTAGTAGTAGCAGCAGCAGCAGCAGCCAGATCTGTTCAGGGTTCCTGAGTTGTTTATTTGCTGGCTGCCATGCTCCTACACATTAGCAATGTTCAGCCCAGTCCCTTGGTATTTTTTCTTGCGTTGATGACCACTATTCAGGGGCTTGCTTGGCTGTCAAAAGACACACAAAAAAGGTTGGGGCTGAGAAAAGAAACAAGAAAAGGGTTTAGACTGGGAAGAGAAACAAGGAAAGGAACTAGGCTAGAAAAAGGCAGATTGTCTTTACTGTAGGTATTGACCAACTCTTGACCAATATATCAGTCGCGAGTCGGTCGATAGTCAACTGATATGTCAGTCGACAGTTGGTCGACTCTTGGTTGATAGTCAGTCGACAATCGGTCGACAACCACACGATAGTCAGTCATTATAATGACCAACTATTGGCCGAGTATCATGCGATATAATGTAGACACATCTCGATCGAGTATTAGTAATATGTCTGTGGTGTATTGATCAACTGCTGGTGATATATTAGTCAACTGTCAGTGGTATGTCAGTCAACTCTTGGTCGAATATCAGTCATGTGTTGAGTATCGGTATATTGTTCAAGTGTGTTAATTTAGCAATTGAGTCCAATGGCTCTTGTTTAAAGTGATGACATTGATGCTATCATGTGATGGAGGAAAATGAATATATATCAATCAACTATCGGCTGACTCCTGACGTATGTATTTACTAACTATCATCTGACTATTGACTGAGTGTTGACTGATGATTGTGTGATACATCAGCCAAGTATTGACCGCCTCTTGACGGACTATCTATATCTTCTGACTATTGACTGAGTGTCAATCCACTATTGACCAAGTATCGACCAATGCTTGGTGAATTATTGGCGAAGTATCGGCAAAGTGTTGGCAAGCTGTCGATGCACTAAAAGCTATGTCGGCTGCAATACATCTTGACCAATTTATTGGCCAACTATCGACTGAGTCTCAACTGACTCTCAACCAATTGCCAAGCAACTATCGACTGCCTGTCAACTGACTATTGACTGACTGTCATCTGATATATCAACTGACTGTCGACCAATATATCGGTTGAGAGTACATACGTTAAACATGATCCAAAAAGACTAGGGCTGAGAAAGGAGACAATTGGAGGGACTGGGCTGGGGATAAATGAAGGGTTAGTCAAGACAATTAGACCCCTTGCTCTTGTTTTCATTTGAGTTATTGGTGTCAACTTGACTACACTTTGCTCACTTTTTGTTTGTTCAAAACTTGAGCTTTTGGTGTAATATTGTTCAGTATAAACTATATGTGTCAGTTCATTGTACCTGTTATTTAAAACAGCCAACAAGGCCAATAAAGATTTTACTCAAGGTATCCTTGACATTGAAGATTTGGTGGAACTTGGACAGAAACACAGGTGAGTAATGACCTATTGACAGTTGTAGTCTTCAGTAACAGATGATGTCTCAAGTTCTTTTACTTAACTTTTGAGGAGTTCAAATAATGGTGAAAGCAGCCATTTATCAAGAGTTTGACCTCTAATTGTAAGCCAAAATTAGTGCAGCTTCAATTTGGACATTCTCCTCAGATTGTATGAGGTCAACATGATTAAACACAACCTTTGTTAAGTGGTATCACTTAGCTATCTTTACTGCATCTTTCATCAATGAAAGTGGAAAATTGTTACCATATTAATTTTGTTAATAAAGGGATATTTGTTGCTGGCTGTGCTGCATCTTTTAGATAGTTCATACAGCTTAAGAATGCAACTGGATAAAGATCCAATCATGATATGAATAATTGATGATCATAGTAGGTATTTTATTTTTTTAACTCAAGACTTCTCTTTTTACTCAGAGTATGCCCTTACTATATGGCGAGAGAATTAAAGACTAGTGCAGACATTATATTCATGCCTTACAATTATCTACTGGACCTCAAAGTAGGTTTAAGACACATTTTAAAATTTTGTATGTTAACTTTGTGAAATATTTGCTTTTGTATGAATAGTGTTTATATGCTACCTATAAAGAAATTGATCATAATTATTCCTATCTGTTGGGCAGTCTTGATGCTAGTTTTCTTAGGTGAAACAATCACTAAAGGAATCCGCAGTCGAGTGTTGATCGATACCCTTGATCGACCCTCAATAAACGTACCATCAACATGTTGATCAACACTCAGTCGACATCTCCATTGATACTCAGTCAACAGTTGATTGACAGTCGGTTGACAGTCAACATATTTTCACAGACACGCCTTTGAGTGTTGATTGATGCATATGAGTCAGTCAGCACTCTGCCAACTATCAACCAACTGATGATCGAGTGTCTATCAAGATGTTGATCGAGTGTTAATTTAGTGTCAATTGAGGGTCGATCAAGGGTATTGATTGACACTTGACCACAGATGCCTTTAGTACACATGATCCCAATTCTGAAGATCTTCTGTCCTTAATGACTCTTTCTCTCCTTTACATGTACTTTACCAGTCAAGGAAAGCAAATAGTGTAGATATTTCTGGCAGCATTATACTCTTTGATGAAGCACATAACTTGGTAAGATAACACTTCTAGTTTACTAATCACCTGAAGGAAATATTAGCAAAGCACACAGTTAATAAAGAAGAGAATTTAAGTAATATTGAGTGATTTTAACTATGGATGTAGTTAGAAACTTGACTAAAGTTTGAAATATTTGGATATCAAACACCATTCTGTGTTTTTACTTTGATAATGATTGGACTGTACAGTTCATATCTGATTGTAATTGCATGTTTAAATGTTTTAAATGTTTTAAATGTTTATCCTTTTAGGAAAAGACTTGTGAAGAAACTGTGTCATTTGACCTGACATCATTTGATATAGCTTCATGTATAGAAGATGTAGCACAGTGCATTGAATTTATTGAGTGCCGCGAACATAATGAATTGCAGGACACTAATGATGCAGCAGGTAAGCACAGTGCAAGTTACAAGTGTGTACATTCAGCTTATAAACACTTCTACTGGTAATCATCACTGAACATACTTAATTTCTTTTGCTGTTAATTTTAAGCTGATGTGGATATTGACAAAGGAGACCTTGCTCGCCTTAAGTGTAAGTGTAATATGTAGATTTAGTCAAGCCTAAAAGTGGAGCTCCTGATTACATTAAGTTAACCTGGCTTGAGAATGCGATCCAATTGAAAACAAGTAGCTTGGCAGCGGTCAACTTTAGAAAAAACCTGTGAACTCAATGTGCTCTAAACCAACCTGAGCCCACTATATGGTCATGTGATAAGGGTCAGCAGATACCTTGTTTTGACAGGTGTCAATTGACCATAACATGGGTGTCCAATATCAAAGATGTATGCTGTAAACCAAGGCAGCATGCCTCAGTCGACCTATTACACCTTTAGGTGGAGAAAAGCCGCCATGTTGCACGACTTAGGACCCATGCCCTGTGCTCCATGCTGCTAGCCATGTTGACCATGAAAAAAGAATTGCATTATTTTCCACATAAAATTATGTATTTTAGTCTATGCATGAATTTGGTTGTATTCCTATAGATATGGTGCTCTGCTTGGCAGCCCCTTAGGCCACTGGAGCTATGCTTTCGTAGTTGGAAACCAGCACTGATTGACTAAACAATAAGCAATATAACAATAAACAGTAAGGTGATATAATTATTGTACATTTCCAGCTGTCAGAATAACCACCAGGTTTATGATAATTATTGTTTTGCAGCACTTTTTATTGAACTTGAGAATTTGATAGATATGCAAGAACTGCCAAACGATGGAAATGGTTTAACTAAACCTGGCAGGTTTGTTTGTCTGCCTCTTTTCTTTTTTTTAAGTGATCAATATTGAAGTGTATCAGTCATATTTTGGTAGTGATGATGTTGAACTTTTCTGTCTGTTCTGAGAGATATAGTTGAAGTATTGTAAGTGTCCCTGATTATTACAGGCACTAAAAAAAAACAATAAAAAATATCTTATAAGATTTTTTTGAATCATATAACACATATAGAAACAGAAAATAACAGCCTCTTATCAAGTGCATACTAGCCTAATGCCAGCATGGCAAGCTACATGTAAGCCTCTCATAATCTTAACAATTGTCCTAAAATTTCTCTAATGTTTACATCAACTTATATTAGCATGCATGTATACTTAAAAATTAATCAGCTGATATATTTCGTTTTGGTTTCTTTGTTTTTGATATGTTTTCTCAGAAGTTTTTTGTCACTTTTTGGTGACTTAGAGGAGACAAACCATTAAGCATCGATGTTCATCATTGATAGCTGATCTCTTCTTTTTTTCTGATTAAATTGCAGTTTTATGTTTGAGCTTCTTGCCAAACTCAATATCAATTTTTCCACCAAAGATCAAGTCTTAGAGCTTATGGATAAGTGTAATACTCTCTTAGTTGGAGGTAAGGCTGCAAAAAATTATCCCCTCCTTTCACCATGCACTGGTTTCATAATAAAATAATTTGTCGGTTATACATGTAGCATGGTATTGTTCACTTTAATAACCATCTATTAGTCCAACCCAAGTTGCACAACTCCATCGAATGATAGACTTATCCTCTCCCACCCAGAAATGAAGCAACACTCTGGACAATATTAAAATATTCTAATACTCTGTTAATAGCAGGTTATGCCACAGTGGACAGCAAAAGTAGTTGAGACACCTTTTGAAAATGGCGCTTTTCAATATTTATCCTTTTATTCTATTTCATTTCCAAGATGCTAGAAAATCAAATTTCACTGTGAAGTGTCTGGACACTTTTGTCACTCATTGTCCCTTTCCTGCCCGACACCTTGCTACCTAAAAGTACCAACAAAATGCCACTTGACAATTTTGCAGTGACATATCTTGCTAGTGAAGTCGCCTTTAGTTTTAAGTACTAATAACATGTGAAGTAAATATTTTATTTTAATTTGAAAATCTATTTGTTCAATCCAGATACGAGGAAGATCAGGGGAAAACACTTTGCCTTGCAAAAATTTTGTGATGCTTTGCGGGTATTTTTTTTGAAATTTCTATTGTTTTGTTTCATTGTCAAAGCATGATAACAAAAGAACAAACTATTTCTTGTCTTGTTTTATAGGTTGTGTTTAGTAAAGATGCAGCACATCATTCTTCCAGTGTAGATCCAGCTAGGTTTTTCAAGGTATTTTTTACAGCATCTAACAGTACATTCTTGTCTGGTACTTGAGATAGTACAAACAGGGATTGCCTGAACATTTTTACTCAGTAATGTTCAAAAATACTGTTTGGCTCTTGAATTAGATCGCTAGGTATTACTTTTATCAAAACATTGTTAATAGTTTCTCAGTCTTGCCACGGGTCAGGAAATAGTCAGGGAAAAAGATTCTTTAAGGTTGGAAAAGTCAAGGAATTTGAGTGAGGGGAAAACTGACATTTTCAAGAAATGTCAGGGAAAATGAAAATTACAGTACAGTATACCATTACTAATTTAATCCATTAAAGGCTGTAAGGAACATTTTCGGCCACTGCGACCTAAACGATGTTTTTCCCTTAATGAAGAAGGTTAAAACTGTTGAAAACATATCAGTCTAAAATGAATGTGTGAAAAGGACAGTGGTAAGGGAGGCTGAAGGCTGCTACTTTATCTGAAGTTTTGTATTAATTTGCTCAGGGAAATTTTATTTTTATTGGGAAAGTTAGTTAATAGTCGTGTAATATTGAAAAGTTATGTCTGTGGCAACCATGTCTCTGACAGGTTCACATTCAGCTTGAGCCAGACAGTAATAAGAAAAAAAAGAATCTGGATGTATGGACAACAGGATCAAAGATTTCCAAACAAGGTTAATATCCATGTAGATCATAGGCAACTGTCAGCACTATCCTCAGCTTTACATATCTCAACTGTATAGTACAAGAATATCTGTTATCATGAAATTTTGAGGACCGTTTTGAAGACAGATGGAAACAACAAAAACAACAAGTTTATATTGCTACTTTCTTCAGTTCAAGAATATTTTCTGCAGTCATGGTGGCGTATCAAAACCTTCCAGTTTATAAACAGCCACTGAACGTGAATAGCACTTTTCCTTTTTAGCAACTTGCTTGCAATGTCCGTTCATCTGGTAAAGTCTTTATCAATATAGCATCTGGAGGCAGAAAAGGCTACATGCACGATTCTTAACTATAACATACCACTACCAATAATATTAGACACTATCATCCCATTTTAACAGAAAGAAATTCTACTATACTTAAACCGTTGCCAATCTTAGCAATTCTTTGCTCAGTCATAATGCAATTCACATTTTCTTGGTGTTATGTAATTTGTAGTCCATTGTAAAAATTCTTGAAAAGCTGACAGTTTGTTTTGTTGTGAGCAACGCAGGGAGGACATTAAGCTACTGGTGTTTCAGTCCAGGACATGCTATGAAGGATCTGATGTCATGCGGAGTGCGTACAGTGGTACTTACAAGTGGAACCCTATCACCTCTCGCCTCCTTTAGAACTGAAATGCAGATGTAAGACTTTACCTCTTATTCTTTAACACACTCAACCCCGCTATGCCATAGTGACACATGACGCCGCAGCGTGGTTCCTCCAAGTTGCCTTGTCTTGGGCTAATCCTGTGGCTTTTCCTAGTCCCTAACAGTGATCCACATTTGAGACTGGACTTTACCGGCAAAGGTGAATTTATGAAATGTAGTTTTTATTTTTCTGTTGCCATGCAGTTCCTTCCCGATTCAACTGGAAAACCCTCACGTTATTGAACGACATCAGATGATGGTTGGCGTTGTGACTAAAGCACCTGATGGAGCCACCTTAAATTCTTCTTATGCAACAAGGTGTGTATGAACAAGTCGCTGTCAAATGTATATTTCTAGGACATCGGGAAGTTAATAGTCATGCATTGGTAGAAATGTCTTGAACAAGACGTCACCAGTAATTCAAACAACTCCACCTGCCCGTACTTGGCTTGGAGTCTTGGTAGACCTTTAGGGCTGATATTGCAGGGTCATTTGGTCCCGATCTAAATTGATTGCACGTTATAACCAGTCATAACAAATGTAGAGTAATGTCTGCAGATATGACCATTCCCACTGGCAGATTTATTAACAGTTAAAGAGTGTGAATGTTTTTCTTCAGGTTTACTACAGAATACATGTCAGGTCTCGGCAACGCAATAGGTAAGTAAAAATTGATAACTAGACACGCCTTCGTTTGTATAATACTTCTGGAGACTATGGTAGAATCAAATGATATTTGATTCTTGATTTGTTTATAGCGTTTGATTGGACAGGATTAGCACAAGATATAAATAAACTTGTTGCAATGGCTGCCACATTCCTCTTACTAAGTGTTTTTAATAGTTAATTTCTCCAGGATTGTGCCTAATGGCCTTTTGGTGTTTTTCCCCTCCTATCCTGTGATGAACAAGTGTTTGGAACACTGGCAAGTAAGTGATGTATTTCTTTTCTCAAACGGAACTGATATACGGTAGCAGAAAATAAATGATTCCTCTTTAACTTCTTAGACCCAATGAGAATGGAGAGGTGATCTGTATAATGTTCATCACGACACAAAGACAACATAGCACAACTCGTAGTTCATAAACTGTTTTTAAGTTTTTCAACATCTTACCACAAACGTGGGTGGTTTATTGATTAAATTTCCACCAGTGTTAATCTTTGCAACAGTTATTAGAAAGTTGGTCGAAATAGACATACAAAGTTAGTTAAAAGCCAGACTCTCGATATAAGTTGTGGTGATTGATCTTTTGTCGAACAGAATTGTGGGACTTGGTCAAGATTAGAGCAACATAAACCTCTCTTTGCTGAACCAAAAGGAAAAGGCGACTTTATTGAGGTTTGATGCAGTTTATTGTTACTGTTTATCATTGCTGTGGACCTTCAGCCAATTTGTGGATCTTGTTTAAGGTTTTAATTGTTATAGACTATTGTCAAACGCTGGTTCTTTGAATTTTGTTTTATTAAGTTAACAGTTACACAGTCTTCAAATAAATTTTAGTACGTTAAGCGCGCATTTGTTATGTTCATTTGGCAGACAATGGAGCGGTTCTATGAGAAGATCAACGATCCTAACTACAATGCTGCCACGTTTTTTGCTGTTTGCCGCGGAAAGGTATAAGAGCAGTTCTCTTGTCTCCGTTCTCCTGTGCATACGTCATCCTTCCTATGTGTGCTATTAAACTGAATCAAGGCGTTACAGACAGATACTACATCAACAGGACTGTAACACAATCAATAAACAACCTGTTCTTCTCAACAAGCTGGATTCCGTTTTTGTTATAGAGTGGTTTACAATTGAGTGTCGTGAAACCAAGACCAAATCAATTACTTACCAATAAGAATTAGACTACTCACCCAATCTCAACCTGAACTAAAACCGAAAACAAAACCAAAGTAATTGCCTGGTTACTTTCGACACTCCATCGCTCAATCTCTAGAACAATCGATGTTTTTGAGCTCAGAGTTATCTGCTAGGCCCAACGACGCTTGCCTTGACTTGGGCTGTGTACAGAAACAAAACTCTATAATTGTTTTATTACCCAGTGACAACCATTCGTTAAATTGCGGCTTAAAATGTCAGTTGTTCTTTTTATGATCCACATTAGAATTGTGTCAAGAAATCTACACAGCGTGGGGGCAACTTGACATGACACTGACTGGTTAAATAATGGACTACTCAGGTCGATTTCAATCAGTTATGATGATATGTCTGTTTTGTTTGAAAAACTCTTCTTCAAAGAATTGATGAAACCAGACAGCCATTTCAATTCAGATTCCAGATGAGAAATTTTATGTTGTGTGTCGGCTTGGTCGGTTGTTTGACGTGATATAACCAGTCAATATTTTAGCTCAAACGGGAATAACTTTCCTGTCTATTTACTCCGAACAATTTCTTATGGATGTTTTCAGGTCAGTGAGGGACTGGACTTCGCTGACGTCAACGGCCGCGCCGTAGTTATAACAGGTCTTCCTTTCCCGCCGAAAATGGATGCAAAGGTATCCTCAAAGAAAATCGGCCTTTGCGTTTTTATATAGTGGGCGATATATAGTGTACATGGTATCATTTTAATCATCTTATTATTTCCTTTAGGTTCGGCTTAAGATGAATTTCTTGGACGAAAGTCTTAAGAACGGGAAAAGTTCTGGGGTATTCCTTTTACCTATGTTGTGTTTTTCTAATATTTTCTTTTAGAAAACTAAACACATTGAGACGTCATTTTCTTTTTTACATTACGCAGGGTTTGAGTGGCCGGCAGTGGTACCGTCAACAGGCTTCCAGAGCTGTCAATCAAGCAGTGGGACGCGTCATACGTCACAAACAGGATTTTGGCGCCATTTTACTTTGTGATGCTCGGTTCACATACCCGGATGCACTTCAGCAGTTGCCGTGTTGGATGAGGCCTTACGTGAAAGTTTACAATGAGTTTGGTTTAGTTCAAAGAGATCTTATACATTTCTTTCGCGCTGCTGATAAAATGGTACGTGTCTCACTGTGAAAGTATGTAGCACAACACTAACGACATTCCCAACCTTCGATAAAAGATCGGATCACTGAACATCCATACAACTGACCCTTGATGATCCCTGTTTGTTCCCCACCATTCTCCTCGTCACGTTTTATGTTGATTCGTTGATTCAGTCGCAGTCTGATGTTTTGGGTCTCTTCTGTCTTCCGGTCAACTTTCAATAGACTGTTTTCGATATATTAATATTCAGCTTGGCAGTGAGGCCTAGAGGACACAAACAACGGGAATTGAAAGACACATTTGTTTATTTCTTTTGTTTGTGTCCTCTAGGCCTCACTATCAAGCTGAATTTTAAATATGTCGAAACTGACCAATTGCAAATGATTACAAACGGCCAATTCGCTCCGGGAGACACGCCCTGCAGGGAATCATAGTAGCTGTATTCATCAATCTAGTCCAAGATGATGAATACAACGACCATAATTCCCTGCAGGCGCGTCTCAAAGAGAGAATTAGCCATTTTCGTTAATCAAGCTAGTTTTGTTATGAATTGAAGCCTTTATACATATTCTAGGTGGACAAGTCCTCGATGAAGGCGAAAACGTTTAAAAAGAATTCTGCCCGGGGAGAAAATACGTGCCCGTCAACAGCTACTGACGAAATAACATCACATCTGGTAACAGACGAACTGATCTCTCAGAAGAATATAGGAAAGGAATCCGCAGCTAGATTGACAAACCAGAATAGAGAAGGTATGATCACACTATGGGTTGTCGTATTTGAGTCATCCTCTGCCCTGTGCTGCTACTGCTGGCTTTATTTTTATCGCTCTTTTTTTTTCTTTTTTTCTCACTCTAATCACGTTTCTGAACAATAGTCTTTTAACCTACTGAATTAAATTCAGTGTTATTTTTAATAGACTGACAGTGGTCGGATTTCCTGTTCTCCCTTTTAGCGAATGGTAACACTCGGAACCTTCCCACAAACACAATAACCGTCAACTCTAGATCACTTTACCCACTTACCAAGGTTAAGCGTATTGGCCAAGCGGCGGATCCAGGAGAGGTGCTGGGGAGAGGAGATGCCTGAAATGAGACCCAAAGGGCCGATGGTCTCTTTCGCTTTCAAACTGACGCCCTATTTTTTAATCCAGTCCCCGACCTTGTATTTTACATCCGGATCAACCACTGCATGTCAGAACTGTCCACATTTTGTCACGACTGCTTTCAGTTTGTTACCCGTATTTATTTGTTTACATATGCCTAAATTTCTTTTAGCACCCGTGTCGTCACTGCGTCTCAAGTATGTGTACAAGTCAGCTGCAGTAAAAGATGAGGCCAACACAACAAAACAAGCGAGTCTAATTGAATCGTTGACAAATTCAGAGGTAAACCTAATCTCCTCCACGTTTTATACCGATGTTGATCGTTTAAACCGGACCCATAGCAGCAGTCTTTTGGGGGAGGGGTGGGAGAAGTCATTGCACACAGACATAATTTACCGGTTGTGACGGTTCTGTTGTAATAAAACCCTTTCAAAAACTAGAATGTACCTAATAAGCAAAAGACAATTCCAATTTCGGGCCATGCACCATTTTTTAACGGCTTATGAAATATTTTAAAAATCGTGAAATCTTGTTGCTGTTGATTTTTTTTTCAGACTACTCGGCAAGTTGATTTACATAGAGAAAGTCCTGATCCAAAGGTGAGGGAGTGTACACCATTATCGCAATATCGTAATTCTCTCCAATGTATCTGGGTTAACTTCAAAAAAGAAAAGTTTGTAGCATTGTAATAATCTCATTGTTTTTCGTCTTCGGCAACTTGTTAATTAACTAATGTTTTAAATTTTACTCCACGATACAGGAAAGAACGCTTTCTGAAGCGATAATGAAGAGAAAAGACGCGCAGAAAACGTCATTCAAGCCAAAGAAAGTTCTGAAGGTGATGACAAACGAACAAATTATCTACATAAGCGTATTATAGAGATGGTAGAAATTGCAGTCCTGCTTTATCACCCAGTCAGTTCCTGTGTGAATCCTGCTTCAGTAGACTTGACTGCCATAACACCGTGAATAAGCTCAGGCGTGTATTTGACAGTCTTGTCTTCTTTGTTCTGACTTCAGGTGGTTCGCCGCAATGTTGAAGAAGAGATGCCGAGACAGGTCGGTTGAATTTTGAATTTTGTGTCTGTTTGTTTTGTTTTATACTATCGGGCGAGTTTGTCATTGAACACACGCTTCTGCAAGCCTTGGTTTTTGTCTGTCGTATAGCTTGTTCCATCATATGTATCCTGTAATTTTTCTTGGGAGAGTGTCGTGTTTAATACCAGTTGAGCTGGTGATGTTTCAGCTCCTATGTACGAGACTGAGTTAGCTTCATTTCATTTTAGAGTGGCCATCAACAAATGCCAGTGTCATCCAAAGCTCAGAAACTTAATGAAGCTAAGATGTATATAATAAAGGTAAATCCAATAATTGTAATCAGGCATCATTTGTGTCAGTGTTGTCAGTTTTGTCACTGCTAAAACATTATTCGTCCCTTCGGATTCCTTCCTTTTGAGAAGAAAAATTTGATCAATGTCAACCATTTTTGTTAAATTTATCATACGGTAAATCATAAATCCACATAAGTGTTTTGGTGGTAGTGAGTGAGAGAGGGAATGAGTGAGTGATTTTACATAAAGTATAGAAATTGCATGTGTATTAGCAAAATTTCCTATAGCAAAAATAATTTTCGAACATGGTTTTCTGGCTTAGAAAAATAATTTAATTTTATTCATTATGGAACGCTTTTGTCCTTAGCATTTTTCTCTCAGCCGTTCATTGTTGAACAGGATTGGTGGACATTCTGTAACCAGTAACTGCAGACTTCTTTTACCTTTCTGAAGCTGACCTGTAGTTATGGTCAGTGAATCCAATTTCCCTTTTCGGTATGATTGTGATCGAGTGTTGTATTACCATAGTAAACTAACCACTGGGTCTTAGGTCACTCACAATTAGCTACAATTGAAAATTAGATTTACACAAAAATGACATCATTAATCGTGTAGCGTTTTACTGACAAGGAAACTTGCTGTGTAACAATTAATCTTGTTTCCTGCAGGTGAAAGAAGCACTGAGTGACGAGCATTATAGACGATTTTCTCATATTTTGAACGAATACAAGCAGGTTTGTAATGAAAAGCATGACAAACCACTTTAATTCTTTTTAAAGTCCTTGGCTGCTCCTCTATCTCGCAATGTTCTCGCTCGTGTTTTGAGTGTCGCGGACATTCTTCTCGTTCCCAGCTGACTTGTGAGTAAGTCTAATCACTAAACAGCTTCGAATACTGAAGCACGAATGTGGGATGGGCATCAACTAACAACCAAGGAAAGTCTTTAACTGCTGTGTATGTCCCAAGCATTTCGTGGTTGATATCTTACATTGCCTCTCATTCAGAGCCATGACTTGGACTCTCTCATCAATGGACTTAGACCGCTGTTCACAAGAAATGAAGCGCAGTATCCGTTATTGCTCGGTAAGTGACCGGTGTTGACTTCGTGTAAGGCAGAACTGTGATGTCCATGTGTCCTTTCAACTTCTGATCTTGTTCTCATGTTTTTACTTCTGACAGGTTTTTCGAGTTACATTCGGGACCCAAAAGACAAACTACGTTTTTTCGAGGCTTACAGAGACACCACGGGCTTAGGTGAGGGTCAGATGTCTGCCCCATCTTCCATTAGCCATATTATGTAACACCTCCTTAAATATCTGTTGTTGTTTCTTTTTTCAGACGTGCCCTTACACTACAAGGCTAGCCTTGCAACTGGAAGGAGAGAAGAGCCGCGGCCAGAAAATGGTACATTAAGCTGTCGTTTTTAGCGTAGTTTATTTGTTTGAGTGTTGTTGCCATGACAACTCACTCGGTTAAAGCGCGAGGTTGGCGAGCGTGACGCACTCGCGAGATGTTTGTGGACACGCAAGCTGTTAGTGCTATATTAACACTTAAATTACAGTTATCTATTCGAGAAATATAGCTGGATGATTTGTTTGAGCAGAAAACTGCGATAATGTAACTTTGTTTTCCTTTGCAGACGATTGTAGAATTGGCAAAAAAAGAAAAACAGAAGAGAACGATCAAATGCTTACTACGGAACAGAATAGAAAATTGGCAAAAACACAAGTGTCAGACAAGGTGAACTGTGTAAAGACTTGTGTTTGTATACTACCTGCAATCTGATCTGCTTGATAACGGTGAATAGTTTCTGGGACAAAGTCCAAATCAGATGACCGTGTGAACTACAAAGGATTAGCCAAAGCGCAGTATTGATCGGCCAGCTTTCATCTGTTTACAAAACAATAATTTCTCTAATTTTCCGGTATTCAACGGATGTTATTAGAAGATTTAACATGCAATAATGACAAATTGTTGACTTTGAAAAAGTATCGACTAGCGTGTTTATAGGTTAATGTTATAACAAATTATCAAAAAAGTGTCATAAAATTCTTTGAAGAAACAGACGTTTTGGTGTGTAACTCTTCAGTGTTCAGAAAACTGTCTGTCAGCTATTTAACTGCAAGTGTCACGCATCTTTAACGGTTTTTCCGTTCACCACTCGACTAACGTGTATCTGCTTGAGAGTCAATAACATTGTTTTTTATTGTCTGTCTGAAGGTTTGCAAGGCTGGACATGCTGCAAGTCTGACAAGTACCAACTCTGACCTCCTGAACGTCACTAAACATTTAAATGGAGGAAACTCATAGCAGATAGCATGTCGACTAAATACTGAATTTATATTGTAATCTGAAAGTTGCAAGGTCATCTATGCATGTCCAAGAAAAGGGTTTCACCTAGTTATATAATAGTAGTCATATATTTATTTTTCTTCAATAAATTGAATAAATGTTT